AATTACAGAGGATTTTCTCCATTACTTTTCTTCTCAAAGACCACATTAACACGAACATCAGTCAAGTGCTGCTACAACCTGTTCCTTTAGATTTTTTGACTTAGAAGCCCACTCAAAGTGAAAAAGGAGACAGCAGACTTGAATGACCGCACGTATGAACCACACGAAATGGGAAAGACACAGGAGCCTAAGTAAGTTGACTGCCTAATCAGGATTTGGAAGTAACCTATGGGATTCAAGACATATTCTTCCAAGTCTTCTGAAAAGCTATGGCACTCAGTGAAAAACAATTGATGTTTCTTTCCCATCCAGGAAAGACAGAAAGAGGACCAATACCAGCATCTTGGGTAGCTTACAGAACCTTTTATTATAGTTTCAACGTTAGTATAAGAAATAAGTTTTGTTAGTATGGGTTATTGAACATCACTCTTCCAATTTACCTCCTTAAGAAAAAAAAAAAAAAAAAAAGCAAGTAAAATAACAACCAGTGCACTTGAAACTGATTTGAAGAGAAAAAATGCAGAAAGTTTCATGCTCAAAGTGATGGTTCTGAGAAATCTTCTCAGCTGTGATTTGTTCTCAAGATATCAAGATAACGTTCAATGATAACAATAAAATATGCTATATACCTTCATGAGCATCCAGTCTCATATGAAAAAGTGACTGATGAGATTGTCACGGCCTCTAATTTTGTATACCACTTTAAAAGCCCTTAAATGACAGAGTCCTGATTTTTCAGAGGATTTGACTGCCTTCTCTGCTAACCCGGACATTCAAATTAAGTAATGAACAATTACTGACTCTTGTGGGAAGCCAATTGTCATTGACTTGTCTCAGGTCAATACCCATTAGAGTTCACGTTATCGAAACAGCACTCTACATCTCTTCCTCTATTGTTCACTAGCAGATTTCCCATCAGTAATTTTTAAAATGGCACTTCCCGAAGTTTTTACTACACAAATGATAAACTACTTCCTCTTGTACTGAGAAATTCCTTGATTTCACCTTTCACCACTGCATCCTGCCCTCTCCTCACAAACCAGAACAGGGGTGTTTTTTGTGATGTTGCACCAACCTTCAGAAACTCAGTGGCACACCCCTGTATCACTGTGTGCCCATTCATATCAGCTGGTCTAATAAAGTATATTTCATGCCCTATACAGTTTATCTTGCTAATGCACTTAGACCATTATCCCAATCTAAAAGTCAGCATTCAGTTTTCATGTATTTGCAATCTTTTGATCTTCAAATGTTGCTAACAAAACCGTTAAAGACATTTGATGTGCAACTGGTTTCTTTTCCCCAAAACTGCATTTCTGGGACACACAACTGGGGGAAAAAAGTTTTGTCTTGCTCTCATGAACATACAGAACAAGTCCTCACTGCATCTTGCTTAAAATTTATTTATGAAAGACCACATATTAAGAGGAGATTCAATGTTACATTGCAGATTTCAGGCAGCTTCTCCCAATTATATCTTGTTTTCCTTACACTTGCTCTTGAGAGAAAGGAGTGAAGCAAGAAGTCTCACAAACCAGTTTAATAAAATGCTTTGCATTACAGGTAGTGACAGGAAAAGGAAAAAATACCACTTGTATTAAGACAAGAAATGGGCATTGGAAGTCAGTCAGGTTCTGGAAGATGAGCGGTAAAGACTGATATGGAAAAGAATTTTGCAGAACCTTGAGGAATAAAAAGTTTCAGATGCATCCAACTGAAAGTTCATAACAAAAATAACTGAAGTCTAAGAGAAGAAATACATGTGTTTAACTACACAATTCCACATGTAGGAAGGAGTTACAAGAAGCCAAATAACAACATATTCAAACAACAAAATGTTAAGTATGGTTTGGATTCAATAAATTTTGAAGGGGAAAAAGTGATGCAATTGCTATTGGGTAGCTTAGGTCTCTAATTTCCATTTTGAAGCACAGAACATGCTTGGGCAAATACACTGTACAGGCCTGCAAAAGGCATTTGAATCCTCGTTCAAATCCTGCAATTAAAACAAAGACCACTGGAATGATAATCTTAAGTTTCAGCAAGATTATTTCTGGCTCATTCTCACAGAACAGAGACATCTCTATTCATGTTCAATATACTGCAGTGAATTTACGGTATTTGAAATGCTCTGGAGTTTGAGAGCTGAACATACATAGCTTCATGTAGATCAAGGTATCTCCTGTCCAGAATAAGGAAAAAGAATTCCTACAAGAAAGGTGCTGAGGGACTGTCTTGAGTGTTGACCCAAAAAGGGCTAAGAAGTTCCTTTGCTAAGCACTGCCTGAAGTATATATCTGCCATGCTGTCATGCTAGACAAGCTGTCTCAAGTTTATTAACTCTGAACCCCCAGCTATAGCTAGAACAGGTAAGTGTCAGGTGAGGTACAATTCCAAGCTGCAAAACAGCTGTGTCTGATTTTGAATGGAAGGATGTCAAGCAAGAAGGTGAAATTCAAAGATGGGATCTATCAATCACCAGAGTATTTGGCTACAGAATGTTTATAGAAACACAAATCTCCTTTTAGATTCATAAACAGGAGGGATTATTCAGCAGTATGCTGCTCTAAACAGGTATTTCTTTTTTTTTTTTAAAGAATGGGAACTTTAGTCTGACACAGAAAATAAATGGAAGAAAAAAAAAAGAGCATGTTTTCCAACTAGAGAAGTATAGGAAGGAAAAAGGAATTAGGAGATTAGCTTGACATATAAAAGGCAGCAAAATGATCCTAAGGCAATCAGAGAGATTAAACTAAAAGAACAGATGAGATGGAAGAATAAGAGATCATTACAAGGATTAAGGAAAAGTCAATGCTGGGACCAGTTCAGCTCCTTTGTAGATCTAGCAGAAGGATCAGAGCTATATGAAGAACTATACTTGTTGACTTGCACTGACAAGACATAACTTGAATAACAGGGTAGTATTTATAATCAACCCAACTGAGACAGCTTTCATGCCAAAAATGCTGTCTGGTTTTTTGCTTATTAAACTAATTTACATATAGTTTATGCATTCTTGAGTCTTCTTGAAAAGGTATGTTATACAAAAGTGTACAGACAAGAACAACATTTTAGTTACCAATAAATGTCAGGCTATATAGTATTCAGCAATAAATCTTTGCATATAGGATGTACAATTTTGATTTGTCAGAGTGAGACAGTCAGGATCTCCAGGGAGTTAATGAGCAATATTTTAAAACTACTTTCAGTGGCAAGCTTCTGTTTTGCCACATACAGTTATATAAAAGGATGCTTTTTTTTTGAATGAATTTTTGAATATTTGCAAATCAAATGCTCACTGCTAATGGATGAAGAATCGTTATTAGAAATTTTCTGGAGTAAATAAAACTCTCAACAGTGGTTTTCTGGTAGAATCACAACAGATTATGCTGTCATGTCCATCCTTGGGTAAATCATGGTTTATTTAAAGTTAAAGCAAACTCATGGTCAATTAACGTTTTTGGTCTAGGCAGGCACACATGCTCAAATCTTCCTCAATAAGTCTTTTACTAACAACAACCTCATATAGGTCAAATTCATGCAAGATCCCAGTTTCAAATTAGAGAAATCTGACGTAGAATTCTCCAAGTTTTGCTGAACAAATGAAAGAGGTGAAATATGAGAGTGTTACCAATGTTAATGGCATAAATATTAAATGAGGGAAGGAAGCATGAGTTGGGGAGAACTTAACTCTGCTCTAAACTCCATGCCTCCTCAAATCCCAAGGTATTTAGCTAGGTCCAAATAATAACATCAAGGAGGTTCCATAGTTCTGAAGATTACAAGAGAGCTAGGTACTTAAGAATAGAAATTATTCACATAAAGAGAAAGGAGTCTGGGGAAAGGTCTCATCCCGAGATAGTTATCAGGATAAAAAAATAAAAGCTATAAAGAAATGGAAGGTTTTGGACACTAATTTTTCATAGCAATAAAAAATTAAGTAGGATTTTCACATCTGGGAAGACAGATCTGCATGAAAAAGGAAATTATTTGGACCACGGTCAGAATAGTTATTTCACCTCAGTAAAAAATGCACATACCTCAAATAAGAATTTCTAGTAACACAGGTGAAATGTGGTCATTATCAATTAATTATTAAAAAAAATATAATCACTGACCCATTTTTTCATTTAAGACCATTCACTTCTATATATCAATTTTTTTTTTTTTATTTGCAGGTATTAAAAGTGTAATCAATCCTTAGAAATAGGATGAAATACCACTAAACCACTATTCAGTTTAGTGTTTCTGATGGTGGTCATAGGACAATTTAGAAATATTGGCCATTCTGTGCGTATAATTTTTTTCTACATTTTAAAGATACAGTTGTGCTCAGTGAGTGAAGAAGGAAAAAAAAGTCTAAATATGGTATTTGATGATAAGCTTTTCTTATTAGAATGTCTTCCCCTTTAATTAGAATCTATGTATACAAACTGGATAAAGAAACAGATGTCAAGTGAGAAAGTAAGACAGGCCCTTGGGATTACAGGAAACATTTAAACTTTACTGAAATACCCAGGGACCCTTAAGCAAGACGTAGAATGAAGGGAGACTAGGTTTAGGCTATGAGAACATAAACCAGGTCTCAAACACAGAAGAAATAATATCATGTGACAAAGAATTAGAAGCCCTTTGCTTTAGCACATCCAAATGAAAGATCATGAAGATGAGGTGATAAGAAGTGGCTGGATGTGGAGCCTATGGCAAAAAAAAACAAAAAAAGAAAAGAAGCCACTTTATGAAGGACAAGCTTCATCTATGCTTTGTAAATGATTTGGCAAGTGTACTGAATCAAAAATGCTTGGACAGCAAAGCATGGAATGATGTACTTTTGCTGTCTGACCTGGGGGAAAGAAAAAGAAAAAAAATGAAGAAAGAAACCCTAAGAATGGTTGAGAAAAGACCCCAACAAAAAGTGATGCCTTGAAGACCGAAGTTACATGGCAGGAGGCCAGTCGTGTCAGAGTAAGAAAAGACTGAAGAAGATGGACTACACTTACAACAGAATGAAGCCCAACAGATGGAAGGCGTATCAAGGGCCGCCAACGACGAAGACGGATTGACGGACTGGTAGCTTTTGCAGGACCTATATGATTACGTTTGGCCCAGGAGAGGGATGCAGAGTGACACAATGGTGAAGCCTTCGTTCTGCTGTGGCTAACCTGAGGCTGCGATGAGGATGGTGGTGAAGACAGCGAGGACGATGACGACTACATAAACATTAAAAAAGAACATACTTAGCCCACTTAAACTTGAATTAACATACCTAAAAAGGCAACTGCAAAGATGTCCACTATTCACAATACTGTCCTTTAACTGATCAAATCACACAGATAATAATCAAGACCGTGTTGAATTTGAATGAGAGGACAAAAGAACAATTAAAATAAGCAAAGACATGGTCCAAATTTGAAATTTATCACCAGATAAACTAGAGGTTATTCACACCCAGTGAACTTCATAATATGAACAGAAGTTAACCGACTCATTCAAGAGACAGACTGTTGGAAAGTGAGGAGGGAAGGGATTTAAATATCATCCCATGGAAGAAACAGTTGAGAACAGAGTGATCAGTTTTGTCTACAGCTACAAAAACTGTAAGCAACAGTTCTTTGGTAATTTGGGAAAGCTAGGTTGTGCTATTCTGGGATTTAAAATGAATCAAGTAACTACAGTAACAGAACCCAGAGTTTCGTTACTGTTCCATGTTTAACACAAAAGGAAAGCAAAGGAAAAGGGAAGCTTACCGTGATGAGGTATGCAACTTCCTAAGTTTTTCACCTATTCTTCTAAAATAGCAGGCCAGTGGCAGTACTGCCATTAACACTCAGGATCCCCTTAGTATCCGTGGAAGCAGTAGGACTATCTTAAACCATTCAAATTGTTACTATTAGAAGAAAGACCACAGAAGTATTAAAAATGACTCTTCAGCTGCAACTGACAAAGTTACAGTAAATACATTAAGACCAGAAAGGACCATTGTGATGATTCAGTTTCGACCTTCTGTCCCACACAGGCCACAGGACCAATCAAGTCCAAGTTGTCTTTGGATCAGAACATAGTCGCAAAACAAAACCAAACATTTGTGAGTAACAATTTTTTTACTACTGAAATAAATCAGAACAAATCAAAATTTCAATCAATCCTGGCTATAGCAGCAAAGGCAGAAAGTAACATATTCATACAGTTTCCTACATGTATTAGTGCTAAATGAAAAGGCAACCTTTCTTCTCCTGCTTAATGATGATATGAACACGGAAGAATGAATTACATTAGCTCTTCAGGTCACAATGTCAAACCAGGGGCTCACCTTCAGCTTATCATCCACCACTACTTTCTCCTCTCAGCACATAAAAAAAAATCCCCAAGACATCTCCAGTCTTTGAGAGAACCCCTTCTATTCTGTCAGGAAATTAACTTTTGTGCTAACAACACAGCTTTTATTTGGGTTCAGAAAAATACTCCTTTGTTTGAAGCTAACCTAAAGGGCAATCCAGATTGTCTGTGTTGATGTCTTGTGTTTTCTTATCTCTTGGTCTTTTTAGCCTGTAGGTTTTGGGGTGTATTTTTATGTTGTCTTCCACATCACTGATAGAAGATGGTTAACAGTACAGGTCTTAGAACTAATACCTGCAGAGTTCCACTAGCGAACATACTTAGTCATCAATGATACTCCACTCATCTCCACTGAAACCTGACAGCTGCTTGTGAATCTGTTCGAGTTATGCAAGCAGAACAGAAACTGCAGTTCCTTAAGGTATTTCCCATATTATGCGGTCAATGGAATAAGTCTAGTAGACCTCAAAAACCAAGCATTAGATAGCTTTTCTATCTAATGCTCAGCTAAAGCCAACCGTATCCTGGGCTGTATCAGGAGAAGTGTGGCCAGCAGGTCGAGGGAGGGGATTCTGCCCCTGTACTCTGCTCTGGTGAGACCCCACCTGGAGTGCTGCGTCCAGCTGTGGAGCCCTCAATATCAGAAGGATATAGACTGATCGGAGCGACTCCAGAGGAGGCCACAAAGATGATCAGAGGGCTGGAGCACCTCTCCTATGGGAACAGACTGAGAGAATTGGCCTTGTTCAGCCTGGAGAAGAGAAGGCGCTGGGAAGCCCTTATAGCACCTTCCAGTACCTGAAGGGGCCTACAAGGAAGCCGGGGGGGGACTTTTTACAAGGGCCTGTAGTGACAGGACCAGGGGTAATGGGTTTAAATTGAAAGCGAGGAGGTTTAGATTAGATATCAGGAAGAAGTTCTTCACAGAGAGGGTGGTGAAGCACTGGAACAGGTTGCCCAGAGAAGCTGTGGATGCCCCATCCCTGGAAGTGTTCAAGGCCAGGCTGGATGAGGCTTTGAGCAACCTGGTCTAGTGGAAGGTGTCCTTGCCCATGGCAGGGGGGGTGGAACTAGATGGGTTTTAAGGTGCCTTCCAACCCAAACCATTCTATGATTCTATGGTTCTCTGAAACAACTGACACTTTTTAATGAATGTAGAAGTGCCAGTCAAAAGCATTTACTTTCTTTGTATTGTTTTTGAAACAATTAATCTTTCCCATTCAGTTTTAATTTTTTTTTTTTTTCCTAAGAAGAGTGGGACCATGAATTGGTTCTTTCTGATCTCATATTGCTGACCTTAAAGAACAAAGACAGGGATAAGAATTCTTAATGAAGCGCAAGCATCAAGTACAGTAGAAACCATACAGCTCAGAGATAAGCATGGAGTGTTATCAAGTCTCAAAGAATAGAGTTTTCCACAGATTTGCCACAGGATTTTTTTTCCAAGTAGCTTCTGTTTTTCAAGCATTATGATCCACCCCTAAATCTTAGCAGCTCCACATAAAACAGGACAAAACCACAAAACCTCCAGCCCCAAAAATGTAAATATATGAAGAAAGAGGAATTTATCAATGACAGTATCTCTAACACGTCAGAGAAGCTTACAAGAGTTTAATGGCTGTAATACTTCATCTGTACTACTGATTTTTTTCCTTCAAATTCTTCACTTGAAGAACTGATTTTAAGTGACATATCTTACCTTTCGATAATGTTATTAGATGGCTTTAAAAACAATTTATTTTCAGCTTGCCTAAAAACACCCCTAGAAGTCTTCATAGTCCACAGACCTCCCTATGCAGGGAGGAACCTGTGAGATTAGAACCTGTTGTGGGGCAGAAATTAAGAGCTGTGCTGACTAGGATAAAAAGAAAGACACACTGTGTTATGTTTTACAATTTTTTAAGCTGCTGCTATCAAAACAGACAAGATTGTTAGTCTTCGTGGAATCTGCAATACAGTAACTGTTTACTTAGAAATAATAAAAAAAACCCCAAACAAACAAACTACAAACTTGCTGGCAGTAGGCATTTGCTCTAGCTTTGATGCATTCCATTGACTGGAAGCTGGTAAACTGTATACTTTTGCTCTGAAAAAAACCTCTCTTTTAGCACTCCTAAAATAATTACTAGGAAACCACTGATAAGACTTAGAACAATACCTAATTTAAGGTTTAACAGTACGGGGATGACCAGAATATTGAAATACGTTTTTTTAATAAAGCCTTTTTTATTTTTGTTACCACATTTATAAAAATTCTTCACTTTTGCCGTGCTTAATGACTGCACTTACTTCTTTGTCATTTGGCTAATACTACTAAAATAATGAAAATATATTAAAAACGAGAGCATAAAAGACAAAGTTCTTAAAACTGAATTTATAATCTAGAATGCAGCATAAGGCAACTAACATTTTTGTTTTTCTAGGTCAGTATTTGTCCTCATTTTAAATTACATTCACTGAATATTTTTATCCTTTATTTCCTGCACTCGTGGGTTCCCTAGTGAGATCAACCAAGACAAAGAGAAACTTCCTGCCAGCTGAAAACATACTTTTGCATTTGTAAGAAAATGGAAAAGCAAAGTTAATACTGGATTATGTCTAATTAATGAGGCTGTAATATCCATAAAATTCCATGCATTGCTTTAATAATAAACAAAAATTAAGCTGTGTCAACTGAAGTTGCTTTCAACTGAATATTTAAAAAAAAAATAGATTTATGCCAATATTAATATGAAATTACTGTTAAATACAGATCTCAAAATCAAGAATGCAAAGTCACACATTTACATTTAATTTAAAATGTGGCAGACAAATAATAACTTGAGGCACTATTCAACCGAGACTTATTGACAGCTAAAAACTGCGGAGAAGAGAGAATTAGACTAACTTCAAGATGAAAACATCTCAGGAGCATATTTCTGTGCTGAAAGTTGTAGCAGGTCAAATACCTGAAGTGGTAAAACAAAACCCCTGAAATAGAATTGACTGTTATTGTCAAATAAACCAGTAAGCATATTAAGCTTATGGTTTGTACTGCTAAAACTACATCATAAATAAGTTAAAAGCTTCATGGAATACGTTAAAAAAAAAAAAAATCAAGCAATTATCATCAGTCCCAATCCAAAATTCAGCCCTATATATAGCCGTTAGTAAAGCCTAGAGCCATTTAAATCTAAGATCTAAAGGAAATGCTTATAAAGTTCACTGGGCACCAAGAGCCATGCTTTTGCACAGACCTAGAAGTGTAGCACTTTGACGGTGCTGAATAGCTCGTGACTGTCAGATTCTAGACCCAGGGATCTGTCTGCTCATCTTGTTTGGGGAAACCAACCCAGCAAAGCATATCAGTCCATATCTAATACATCAAAGACCTGACAGGACAAAACAGCATCTGATATTGCATGACCATTTCTTTCCAAGAAGAAATATTTACTACTGATGAACTTGGTAGTGGTTAATAAAAATTAATCTATCTGGAAGCTCAAATTCAGGACATACTCTCAGTGGAAAGTTCAAGCCATGCCGACTTCCTCCAAGGAGGCTTCCCTGTCTATCAGCTGACAAACTATGCTGGGACTGGGGCTTTCTTCTCCACTTTGAGGTTGCGTGACAGCGTAGAAAGCAACGCCAGTTGCAGCGGGACAGAGATCAAATGAGCTGTAACTGCACACCAACATCACTGGAGACTTGGGAAATGCTTTTAGTCCTGATCTTGGTTCACCTGTACCACCTTGGGATCAGAGGCCCTGCCACATGTTCTGCGCCTGCTCAGTTGAGTCAGGCCATGAGGGTGCAGTAACACCTCCCAACAAACTACATGTTTGTGGCCTCATTTTTACAGTTTCCGTACAGTAGACCCTGCAGCAGAAATAGG